GTCACTGACCCAGGATACCAATAATGTCTTCTATTCCCCTCCCCCTTCCCATCACTAGACATTTTTATCTTTTGGCCATGCAAACAAAATAAGACATGCATCCATATTTTTAAACACAAGAATACATGAACTATGGTACGAGTCGTTTTGCTTCCTACTTTATATCTTTGAACTATTAAAATTAAAATAAAAAATAAAAACAAAATAATAAAAAAATAAAAAAAAAAGACTTGTTGCCTCTTGAGTCCTTATCCTTCACCTTTACTTTTTTTTTTAATCCTCATGTGTAAAGTCGTTCAAGAGACCACTGCCACATTAAAAGCGTGCTCACAAAGAGATCACAAAAGAAAGGAATGCTCTCTCGGCACGTTTTGCTCTCACTATCTTTTTTTTTTTTTTTTTTTTTTCTTCACATTCATTCATCCAAGTCCTCTCGATCAATGGCTGACGCTTTATCAGCTCTCGTCCCTTACTTTTTGTTTTCACTCATGCAACAAACTCTTGTGAGTTAAAGTATATTTATCAGTAGAGAATATATATATATATATGTCTCAACGATCAAAGGGAAAATTTAAAAAAAGTTGATGAGCAATCGAAGACAGATATATTATATATAATATATATATAATAAAAAAAAAAAAAAAAAAAAAAGTATAAATATATTTGCATCTATGTTTATAACATGGCTGCTGAGCAATTTTTTTTTTTATTTGAATAGTAATAGCAAGATGTAGCAAGAGTGAAAGTAAACACCCCAGTTTCCTCAATTCCAAAGAACTAATTTATTTATTTACACAAAGTCAAATTGAAATGCAGTTCCTTCAGCAACAACTGTACACTGAAGAGCAGAAAAACTCATTTTGTACTGTTTGTATTTGTTGTACTCTTGTACTGGCTGTACTGGGTCAGAATTTTTTTTTTTTTGCTCTCAATGAAAATAAAAACTCGTGGCGAACCTCTGAGCTTCTCTCTTCCCTTTTTACTTTTCTTCATCATTCTTACATCCTCATCCTCATCTCTTACCATTACCACTCAATCAAATCTACTATCCAATTTTTATTTCCTTTCCTTTCTTTTCTTTTTATACCTCTTATCAATATTTTTTGTAGTTGTTACGACTGACTCTTTAACGTTTGTCCTATAAACATACTCTAATATCTTCTGCGCTCGTTTATTTACTTCTTTTTATTCTCTTAATCATCTTACATCTCTCACATAATGACTAATACCACTGGTATGTTTTTTTTTTTTTTTTTCTTTTCAAAAAAAAAGGCGCTACTTTTTCCTTCTTTGTCTTCTTTGTCTTTGTTCTATAATCTGGTTTGGAGGAAGATATCTGCATTTGCTTTATGAATGCTTATTTTTCAACTCCGCATCTCCTTCCTCAATTCCCTTTTGTAAACAAACAGGCATTGTAATATGCTTATCTCTCCAGTTTGGGAAAGAGATCGCTGCAAAAAAATTGTTATTGCCACCATTGCAATCTCATATTTTCAGTACCTGTGTGTTTTTTTTATTTATTTATGAATGATCGAAGTTGACATTGGATTCGGTTTAAAAAAAAAAAAAAAAAAAAAAAAACTTTCCTTAGTCTTTTTACGGACCCTTTGTTCTGTATGTTATTTCGTTTTGTCGCGCATGACTTGTACATGGTGGCATGTGGACTTTTTTTGAGGGGATGGAATGTACATGTTCTATCTCGTGTACCCCCATCTGGTTTTAATTCACATGTTGTTCGGATAATTTTTTTGGTGTTCAAAATCTTTTGGTCCATTGTTTACTCACGCAAATAAATCAAATCGGCTCAATAGAACCAACTGCTACTGTCCCTGTCGAGCAAGTCAAGCCTGCTGCTGATACAGATGTTACTGCCATCACTCAGGTGACCGCCATTGCACCCCACTGTTGAAGATCAAAAAAAACAGGATCAGGAGGCTGAGGCTCTGGCTGCTGCTGCCAAGAAGGCTGCTGAGGAGGAAGCGGCCCGTTTAGCAGCTGAAGAAAAGACTGCGGAAGAGAAGCGCATTGCTGAGAAGAAGGCTGCTGAGGAGGCTGCTCGCAAGGCCGCAGAGGAGAAAGCTGCAGAGGAAGAAGCTGCCCGTAAGGCTGCAGAGGAGGAGGCCGCTCGCAAGGCTGCTGAGGAAGAGGCTGCCCGTAAGGCTGCTGAGGAAGAGGCTGCTCGCAAGGCTGCAGAGGAAGAGGCCGCTCGCAAAGCCGCTGAGGAAGAGGCCGCTCGCAAAGCCGCTGAGGAAGAGGCCGCTCGCAAAGCCGCTGAGGAAGAGGCTGCCCGTAAAGCTGCTGAGGAGGAAGCTCGCAAGGTTGCAGAGGAAGAAGCTGCTCGCAAAAGCCGCTGAGGAGGCTGCTCACAAGGCCGCTGAAGAAGAAGCTGCTCGCAAGGCTGCTGAGGAGGAGATTGCCCGTAAGGCTGCTGAGGAGGAAGCTGCTTACAAGGCTGCTGAGGAGGAAGCTGCTCGCAAGGCTGCTGAGGAGGAAGCTGCTCGCAAGGCTGCAGAGGAAGAAGCTGCTCGCAAAGCCGCTGAGGAGGCTGCTCACAAGGCCGCTGAAGAAGAAGCTGCTCGCAAGGCTGCTGAGGAGGAGATTGCCCGTAAGGCTGCAGAGGAGGAAGCTGCCCGCAAGGCTGCTGAGGAAGAGGCTGCCCGCAAGGCTGCTGAGGAAGAGGCTGCCCGCAAGGCTGCCGAGGAGGAAGCTGCTCGCAAGGCTGCAGAGGAAGAAGCTGCTCGCAAGGCTGCAGAGGAAGAAGCTGCTCGCAAGGCTGCAGAGGAGGAAGCTGCTCGCAAGGCTGCTGAGGAGGAGATTGCCCGTAAGGCTGCAGAGGAAGAAGCTGTTCGTAAGGCTGTTGAGGAGGCTGCTCGCAAGGCTGTTGAGGAGGAAGCTCGTAAGACTGCTGAGGAAGAGGCTGCCCGTAAGGCTGCTGAGGAAGAGGCTGCTCGTAAGGCTGCTGAGGAAGAGGCTGCTCGTAAGGCTGCTGAAGAGGCCGCTCGCAAGGTTGAAGAGGAGGAAGCTGCTCGCAAGGTTGAAGAGGAGGAAGCTGCTCGCAAAGCCACTGAGGAGGCTGCTCACAAGGCCGCTGAAGAAGAAGCTGCTCGCAAGGCTGTTGAGGAAGAAGCTACCCGGAAGGCTGCAGAGGGAGAAGCTGTCCGTAAGGCTGCAGAGGAGGAAGCTGCTCATAAGGCTGCAGAGGAAGAAGCTGCTCGCAAGGCTGCGGAGGAGGAGGCTGCCCGTAAGGCTATTGAAGAAAAGGCCGCCGAGGAGAAGCGCCTTGCTGATGAGGAAAAGCGTGCTGCTGAAAATAAGGCTGCTGAATTAAAGGCTGCTGAAGAGGAAGCAATTCGTAAGGCTGAGGAAGCTCGTCTTGAGGCCGAGACCAAGAAGGCTGCAGAGGAGGAAGCCGCACGTATTGCTTCGGAAGCTAAAGCTGCCGAGGAGACGGCTGCCGAGAAGAAACGTCTTGCTGAAGAAGAGGCAAAAGCCGCAGAAGGGAAGGCAGCTGCCGAAGAAGCCGTGCGTATCGCTGAAGAAGCCAAGGCCGCAGAGGAGAAGGCTATTGAGGAGAGATGCATTGCTGAAGAGGAAACCGCTCGTAAGGCTGCAGAAACCAAGGCTGCGGAGGAAAAGGCTGCTGTGGAGGCCGTGGCCGAGAAGCAGGCTGCAGCCGATCTGCGTCATGCTGAAGAGGAGGTTGCTCGCATTGAAGCCGAAGTTAGGAAGGTTGAGGAGAAGGAGGAAAAGACTGTCACAAGCGCAGAGGACGTTACCACAACTGAGCAAGCATCATCTTCTACTCCCGATGTTACTGACAACAAGAACGATGTTCCAGAGGTCACAGTCATCCCAAGCTTGAAGCCTACTGAGGAGATCAAGACAGAGCCTGTTGTTGCAGCAGTAGCATCAGTACCCACGGCCGCTTCCGCCGCCGTAACAGCCAACGGCAAGAAGGAAAAGAAGGAAAAGAAGGAAAAGAAGGAGAAGAAGGAGAAGAAGGCCTGTATCATCATGTAAATTTTTCCTCCCTCGTTTTTTTATATCTTGATCTACAATTTTATATATATTCGTATAGTATTATTCCTGTTATCTAATGTCATTCTTGAACGCGTTATGGACATCATGTTGACCATGATGGCCTAGCAAAAAGCACCCTATCATACCCTTAAAGCAGAAAAAAAAAGGAACGCTGGCTTCTTTCTTTTTGTCCAACAATAAAATTAATAAAAAAAAAAAAAAAAAAAGCGCGTTACACACGTGACTATATATACGGCGCTCCTCAGTTCATATTAAATATGACTTGTGTTCCTGAACATCCTTAGACAGTGACCGGGAACAAGAGATGGCTCTTTCTTTCTCTTCTTGTTTCTTTTATTTCTCCATTGTCATCATTCTTGTTCTATTCACAGCCAAAGCTGAAATAAGAAAAAAAAACAAGCAACTTTCCCAACCTGTTCTGTTACTCTCGTCACCTTGACATGGTAAACGTGACAGACAAGAAGGGTCTGATCCTTGCAAGGGTAAGCCATGCATTGGGTTTCTCAAATTTCCTCTTTCATGCCTGATCCTCACGCATGCACAATTGCCATAGTTTGCGTTTAGAGCTCGACTCCTGAGAACATGATTAATTTATACATATAAACTCAATAAAAAATTGTATAGATTCCAGGAACCTCAGTTCCCCTTGCGCACACCATTTTTGGCGGGTGTAAGTGATCATTCATTGCTGTCACTGCAAATTAAAGGAAAAGGAATGAGTGGAAATACAAGCTGAAAAGGACGGCTGCAGAGTAGCCACTCTCATTGGAAAATGTGGAAGCATAGAAACGTCATTCCTCTCACTTTAAAAAACCAGATATCAAAAAAGAAAAAAATTCCGCAGCATCGGCTTGCTCTCAATTGTTTTCGCTAAAGCCCAATAGTTTTTTTTTTTCTTTTTTGGAAGGTACAATGGGACAGCCACTTGTCTCATTAGAAAAGATGAAAAAATGGAAGAAGCAGTTATGTATTCTCAGTACTTTAGTAGCTCGGTTCTTGAAATGCTCTTTTTTTTATCTCACTCATTCTTTTGAAGGGTGGGAGCTGTTCAAGAGAGGAATAGACAGAGCCTTTTGTATTCCCGCTCACTGATCCATTCGAAATTGCGCCTGAATACCAGTCACTGATTTTTTTATTACTTGGTTCGGAATCTATTTTAGCCGCATTCCTTCTTGCCTTAGCTATCGGATGCTATGGCCACTACTACAAGATTGTTAAGAATGGCATTGCCGGATATCCAGATGTAAGTCCATTAAGATGCTGCATTTATATAGCATTTAGCTTCATGAACGAGATATTCATAAAAAGAACTTTTTTTCAACCAGGAATGGTTTCCAAGTGTAAGTGCCACAACTGGAGATTGGTACCCTGAGCGTAATATTTGTCAGATCTTTATTGCTTTGACTTCTGGTAACGTATCCTTGATACCTTTGCTTTTAGCTAACGATTTAAACTAAACTAGATCTAATCAGACATGTCTTTAGGATCATTCAGACTTACTTTTTTTTTTTTTTTTTTCTTAAAAAAAGGGCCTCGCCTACTATTGTGCTACCTTTGGTATCTTTTAACTGTTCGCAACGTCCCCGCTAATGGTTCAAAGGGTTTCGCAAAGTTTCTTTTCATAAACGACTTCATCAGGACAGTCGCTTGTGGAGGATGGGTCTATATCACATCTTCAGATGATCACGACATCCATGACATTGCCATGATCCTTTACCTGCTTTGCACTGTCCCTCATGTCATTGGGACTATCAAGACCGCTCCTCAGAACCCCAATCTCTTCGCTACAGAAAATTCTTTGCCTACAGCTTCTTTGGCGCATTGATTCCTATGGTTCACTTCTTTATTCAACATAACGTCCATCGCATTCCTGGAGGTAATACTTTATATCATAGGCTTCATAGCTGGAATAAAATCCTATCCAAGTGTTTGAGCTCAAGAATTAAAAATCGCTAATCTCCCTCTTATCTCTTTAGCTTACACCTATTATGCTTTCTTTGAATGGTCGCTGATTATCTCGGATCTCGCCTTTGATGCTGTATGCTTGATTGACTTCCAGACTTTTGAGCTCCGTATTGTGGATGTGGGATTGAATGGCAAACAAGAAGACAGTGCCAAAGCTCTGAATGGTCTCAAGACTTATGGAGGAAACGGAGGCATTAGTGCAAGCCTCGCAAGCATCAACCTTTCGAAGTCATTTCCTTTGCCGCGATGTCTACTTGGGCTTCGTCTTCTGGTCCATGTTGACTGCACTTCCCTTGATGATCTGGTACTTCCCTTTGTGGCACATGGGTATCTCTGGATATGAGGCTTTCCTGTTCTGTAACCTCATCTCTGTATTGTTGGGAATTAACTTCCTTCGCCGTGGAATCGAGCGTGCCAAAGGCTTTGTTCATTTGCTCTCGTTGATCGTGTTCTGTGCTACAAGGTCTCTGACCCTGCTCATCGATTGATGGCTGTCGCTGCTGGCTCCTTATTGTCTTTGGTCGCCTGGGCCGCCACTCTTTTTGGTCAGCGTCATCAGAATGGTCGCGCAGAGCGTGGTGTCTTGACTTTGGCTCTGGGATTGATCCTTCACAACGTAGTGAAGATGGCATGGTGGGCAAACAACCCTATCTGGCCAATCATGAATGAGAATACCGGTGGTCAGAACATGATCGGGTTTGCTTTGGGCTTGTTAGCCTCGATCCAGGTTATGCTGCGCAAAGAACCCGGCTCGGATGACCTAAGACCACAAAGGGAACTACGGTGAGAACTGGCTATTGGCTGCTCTTGGTTCTGGTGGCTACCTCTTCTGTCTTCACTCCATGTTCACAGACTCGACCACCATTAGCCGCTGGTCCTTGGGAGGATACCCTAATACTGGGCCTCAGCCCGTACCTGGTGGAATGATGGTAATTGCTGCTATGGCTGCAGGGCTTACTCTTTCATCTAAACGCCGCTGGGTAACTTCGTTGATCTGGTGGGCCATCGGAGCAGCCGGGTTAGCTGTCTTGCACTTCAACGAAGGCGATATTGGATTTGCTGGTGGAATTGTTTTCACTGTCTACGCCCTTTCACTCTTCCCATCAATAGTTCATTCACTGACTCGCCAGCCCCCAGGTCGCACTTTCTTTGTGGGCATGCTGGTCTATAATATTCTTGCCCTTGCACATGTCTGGGTTGTCGCTTACGCGTTTGTCCCTGGTGGTGAAGTTCTGCGAGAGCGCACAGACTATGTTTTGATCGCCATGCAGACCTGTATCCTACTTGGTGTCTTCAACTCTAACTCTAGTGCCTGGGATGTTCCCTTAGAGACCCATGCCCGATCTCCATTCTCCGTGGCTCGCTTATACAGTAAGCTTACATTAGTAGGTTTGGTTCTGGCTTCGGTCGGCATCTGCTATAAGCGTTTGCCAAAGTCTTCGCCTCAGCCCTATCATCCTGAACACAAACTGATCACGGCTGGTATCTGGACCATTCATTTTGCGATCGACAATGACATGTACAACAGTGAGATCCGTATGCGTGATGTCATTAGAGACTTGGAGCTAGACGTCATTGGTTTGTTAGAGTCAGATCTGCAGCGCATCATCATGGGCAATCGTGACCTGACTCAGTTCTTGGCCGAGGATCTAAACATGTACGCGGACTATGGCCCAGGTCCCACGAAGCACACCTGGGGATGCTCCATGCTCTCCAAATTTCCAATCAAGCGTTCATCTCACCATTTGTTGCCATCGCCTAAGGGAAGCTGGCTTGTGCGATCCACGCTAATTGGATGTCTATGGCAAAGAAGTAGATGTTATTGTCTCTCATAATGGTCAAGAGGAAGATTTGCTGGATCGTCAGCTCCAGACCACGGAATTGGGTCGTATCATGCGTGAATCCGACAATCCTTTCCTGTTCTTGGTTATGTTGTGACTCGCCCAGGTCAAGGTCAAGAAATCTATGAGCTTTTGATGGATGGTGGTCATGTTCACGATATTGAGGTCTCCGACTGGGATCGATGGTGTCAATACCTTGCTTTCCGTGGCGTCAAGCGCGTCGGCTACGCTCGCGTCTCCCATGGAGGGATTACTGACACAGAAATCCAAGTCGGCAAGTACACACTGTTGGAGGACCACCCTACCTCATGGGATAAGAGCCAGTCGATTGAGGAGTTCAGGAAAGAGGAAACCTATGTCAAGATCCCAGAAGACCAAGTTCCTGAGGGCTTGCGCTTCCCATCCATGTTTTATGGTGCGGGCATTCGCAACACCGTTTCCACGTCTTTGATCGTCCTTACTACTATGCATAAAGCTATATTCCTTTCTTTGGATCGTTGGGTTATTAGTTTATTACCATTATAAAAAGCAATATTCAAAATATCATTTAGAAAACAGTCCACTGGCTTGATACACAATGTCTGTACCTCTTTTTTTTTTTTTTTTTTTTTTTTGCAAGGTATTAAGTTGCGTGAACAGATTGATGCTGAGCAGAAGTTTGTTGAACAAGATGAATTTTTTCATTTTATTTTTGGATCGCTGGAACTTTTACATTACATCTGTCTCTTGGTGATGAATATACGCCATTTGCAAAGATCTTCTGAATCCTAACGGACCGTAACTTTTTGAACAATAGATTTTGAAGTGCTTTTTATTCGTTGCTAAAGACTGAAGTTTTGTGATAGCGACCAGTAGATGATATTCAAGAGGCTTAATAGCGTACGGAAACACTAGAGATGTATGCACGGGCTAAATGAAAGAAAGCATCAGGGAACCATCCACAACCTATAAGAATACGACCAACAAAAGTGCAAAGTAAAAGTGGCATAGTAGATAATCGTTTGTAATTCTTTTTTGTCCGAATCGCATAAAGTATCAACATCTTTCTGGGCTACATACGACCTTGATAGTATATATCTGGTCATATTTGATGCTTGGTTCGGCTTGTGTCGTGGAGGCTTCCGGTAGTGGTATTTAGCTGAAATAAGCCCATGCAAATAAAAAAGCTCCCCGTGCAAAATAATTTTTTTTTATTTGTACGGGGGGAACAGTGTAAATAAGGTCGGGGCGTGCAAATATCTTTTTCCAATTACTTATCACCATAAAGGAGTTGCTCGGAGCCGCTCTTGTTTGGCCAAGCAGAGTGTTCTGGTTCCTTATCAACAGCATAACAGAATTTATTCTCCAGGAAAGGCAACCGGAAACATATTCACAAACGATATCCATAAAAACAGGTTTGGTTACCTTAGCAACTTGTTTGGACTGAGACAAGTTTGAAGAAGGCCTTGCTCTACTATTAAAAGCATTTTTCCTTTACTTTGTCTAACCTAGAAGCATTCAAAAGTAGGACCACTCTATTTTTTTTTATGAGCCTTGAATGTAATTAAATTAGATTCATGTCGCTCTGTACACTCCGGATAATGGTATCACATTATTATTATGATTTATGTCGAGGTGGTTGTTGTGGAGGATCAAGGAGACATTTGTCGAGAAAATATAACGAGACAAACATCTGGCGAGAATACACTTGATCGAGAAATATTACACTAGCCGAGAAGCAGACACTTGTCAGGAGAGATAATTGTCATGCTCCACAGCATAAGGAAGAAAAGAATATCCTCTCGCACAATAATATCCTTCAAAGCAAGGATTAATCTATTTGGCAGCCCATTGCCAAATATAGTCAACTTTCAAGACTCTCTTTGGCAGCCCAGTTGCCAAATAACATTCATTATTTACTTGGCAGCCTACCCAGCGTTATTTGGCCTCTAACTTTTTTTTTTTTTTTTTTTTTTTTTTTTCATTCCTAGGAACCGTATATGTATATAACGCTCATACTTTAAATTCCCGTCTTCTACGTCATAGTTTGTTAGTGACATTGTCTTGTCTCATTTAGAAACTAATAACTTTTTTTTTTTTTTCAAGTGGCGTAGATGTTTTCAGATATTAGAAGTCAGGAGATCAAAAGTTGTTTTTATTATTGTCAAACGAGAGCCTTTTATCAAGGACTCTCTATGACCGTCACATGATATTCTGACCTTATGAATAAAATGGAAGTGCACCTGAGGTGCACTCCCAAGCCTGGTACGTAACAACTCCCCCCCAGATTTTAAGGTAAGGTTATTGCCGTTATAACTCGAGGGTAAGAGGAAAAATAGAAAAAACCTCTGAATGCTGAGAAAACTATGAGGAAAAATGGACTAAAAACCTCTCTATGACTACACTGTAATTGATTGGAGGAAAAAATAAACCTCTTAGAGGGTAAAAATTTAAACCTCACGTGAGACCTATAAGGTCTGCTATAACAACCTGTCTTTCTTTTTCTCTTGTAAAGATTAAAGAGACAAATACATCATGGAAACCATAGTCAGCGAATGAGTCATGGAGCCTCTACAACGTTGTGTAATTTAGAGCAGCCATTGGATAAGGATATGTTTTGCGGGGAATGCAGGCGGTTAATTGTATAGCATGTCAAAATGTAGAAATCTCATTGGACCTTTTTGTCAAACAGAGATCACAAAAGATCACGCCATCTGCCTCCCCCAGAAGGACGAATGAGGTTTCTCAAAGCGAATGATGAGGAGCAAGGAAATGAAATTAGAAATCGTCAAACGATTGCTCATTCCTTCATTCCTTATTTCAACTTTAGACACTCTCAAACGCCTTCTTACACAAACAAATATATCTTGCAATTCAGACCACAGCCTTTTGTAAATCATTATCATTATGTCTTCTAACAGCACCCCTTCTTCTCCATCGTCTGGTGCCTCAACGCTTTTTGAGCGTGAGGACTATGAATTCATTCCAGCGGAACTTTCTTCAACTTCGTCTTCGCCCGTATTGGTAGAGGCTTCAGACGTGGAGGGTGTCAGCAACTCCGAAGAAGATAAGGAGGACGAGAGCAGCTACGACGCTGAGGACGACGAATATGATTACGAATATGATTACGAGTGTGAGGAGGATCTGTGGGATAGCGACGAGGGAGTTCGTGCCTGGAAAAAGGCACATCACCAGTTTTACCACCCAGAGTCACGGAGCCGCTCAGCCTCTCTGGAGATCCCAGGACCTCGTCCTAGCAGGAAGCGAAAGGAGCCCTCTAGCGATGAAGAATCATCAAGCAGCGAAAGCAGCGAGGCAGAATTGTCAAGCTGCGGAGTATGCACGACTCTCGGGAAGAGAAGACGTTTGATGGTGGAGAGTGGCGATGATTCCGCTAAGAGTCGCCTTCAAAGAGAATTTGCATGGGCTAAGAGGTATGAACGCCTCTATAAGAAATATACTAAGCTGCGCAGGCAAGCAGAGAAGTATAAAACTATGCGAATGCGTGTAGAGAAGGTTGTGGACTCTCTTAGCTCTCAATTACCATCGCATCCAGTCGCTAGTTGCGATTGCTGCAAAGGAAAGAATAAAGCTGATGGTTGCTGAGTAGGTTGTAGAAAAAAAAATAATAAAAAAAATAATAAAAAAAAATTATTGCTATGAGGACATGTATCTATTCTTTTGTCGTCATGTTGGAGAAAATTTATTTGCACAAAAACTCCATAGCTACACGCAGTGTATACTTCCGCGTAGTCTTTTATTTATTGCATGCGTTTGCTTTTGGACCTAGTGTTTCTGGTTCTAGATTGTGCTGGCTGTCTAATCAGATTTTTGTCTTTGAGCTTTTGGATTCTTGCTTGAGCCCTTTTCACTTTATCGTCTTGTTTAGCACGAATGTGAGGGTTGCTTTGATTGAGACGTTTCCAGTACTGTCTGATGATTAGATCAGAATCGAAGTCTTCATACGTTAACTGCGAGTTTTCTGAGGAGTCATATCCTTTCCACTTCACAGTGTACTTCACTTCCCCTGATGTGAAATCGTGGTCAACTATAGATTCGACTTCATAGGACTCATCACTTGGAACATCAAGTGCCTGTGTGACTAATTTGAGTTGCTCAGGGGCAAAGTTGCGTAATAATTGACTATTGGTGGCATCTAGTAAAGTATAGCTACCATTTTCTGTTCTAGCCATTACTTTGTATGGTCCATGATATTTAGGCGCAAGCTTGCCTTCCGCTAATGGATCCCTCGTCATGACAAATGACCCTGGAGGAAAATCTATAATGCGGTGGGTGCGATTAAAATTGGAGATCATTTTACGTTGTGTGTCTGCACTCTTTTCAGCGATGGCTGGATAAACCAAATTGGTTAAATAATCCAATCGATCATTAAGCTCCTTGTCAGACAAAAGATGGGACTCAGCTGATGAAAAGTCCGTCAGACCCGCAAATGATCTGCCATAAAATAATGAGAATGGTGTAGAGCCATGTAGGCTGGCGGCCTTGACGTTTAATTGTAGTTGAGTCATGGGTAAATATTTGTCCCATTCTTCCTCATGGCCTTCAAGCTGCTTCTGGATATTCTCCTTGAGAGCTCGAACAAACCTTTCGGCTACACCATTCGATCTGGGATGGTATGGAGTAGATAGTCTGTGATCTATCTTTAGCTTGTCATTCATGAGTTTGGAAAGTCCATTGACAAATTCAGTGCCATTATCGCTTTGGATGATCTTGGGGAACCCAATCATGCAAAATAACGAGAACAGTCGTGCAGCAACTGTACTTGGCTCTTTGTTCGGTAATGCCTCTAGTATGACGAATCTTGTACAAACGTCTACCATCACTAACGCGAAATTGTTGCCCTTCGTGCTGGTTTTAAAAGATGCCAAATCAATGGCGATGTGTTCTCCTGGTAGATTCGCATGAATGGCTTTCAGGGGATGATACCCTTTGCGTACAATATTAAAATGCTGACATTTTCTGCACTGACTAACCCATTTAAGACAATCGTCTCTCAGTTTGGGCCAAGTGAACCCTTGCTCATGAATTGCTTTGACCATTGCATTTCCTCCTAGGTGGCCAAATTCATGTACTTTTTGAAGACATGCTACTCTTTTTTCTGCATCTAGGATGGTGTGCATGGGAGTATCCTCATTTTGAATAACATGAATATAGGAAGGCTCTGGACCGGATTGGGGTTGGGATATTTCTGCTACGACTTCACTTAAGTTATGTCTTCTGGCCGCTGCAATCGAGGGACTATTACTACCACTAGAAGCAATTAAATCAGATTGATTTTGCCATGGTTCCTCAGGGAATGCACGCGACAGAGCATCAGGGATCACATTTAATAGGCCGGGTCGATATACACATTCGAAATCATAATTGAACAGAGTTTCTTTCCAATTTGTTAATATCTGGGGTAACTCTTTTTGTTCATGAATGTACGTCAAAGGCCTGTGATCTGTATAGAGAGTGAATCTTCTTCCCCAAATGTACTGATGAAACTTCATTAAGGCGAACACTATGCCTAAAAGCTCCTTTTT